CAGCGTAAAGCCTGCCGGCTGAGGAATTCTGGGAGTTGAAGTCCATCCATCTTAAAGCCTTCCGATGGGGGAATTCTGGGAGTTGAAGTCCATCCATCTTAAAGCCTGCCGGCTGAGGAATTCTGGGAGTTGAAGTCCATCCATCGTAAAGCCTGCCGGCTGAGGAATTCTGGGAGTTGAAGTCCATCCATCTTAAAGCCTGCCGGCTGAGGAATTCTGGGAGTTGAAGTCCATCCATCTTAAAGCCTGCCGGCTGAGGAATTCTGAGAGTTGAAGTCCACCCATCTTAAAGCCTGCCGACAGGGGAATTGTGGGAGTTGAAGTCAACCTATTTTAAAGCCTGCTGATGGGAATTCTGGGAGTTGAAGTCCATCCATCTTAAAGGCTGCCGACGGGGGAATTGTGGGACTTGAAGTCCATCCATCTTAAAGCAACCTTGTTCACTCACTGAAGCTCATCCATCAGAGAGAGATGGCTTCGAGGCAAAAGATGTCCCCCATCCCTTTTTCCCAGAATTCCCAATCCAGCCTCCTCAATCCGAGACCACCTTTGCTGCACTTAATGACCCATTTCACAGCTGCCTGCTGCAGCATACTCAGCTAACCTTCCTTCGGTTGAATCTGGAGAAGTGGGAGGGACGCACAAACTTAGCCCGTAAATGTAATCTACCTTCTCTTATGCAACTTTCTTTTGTCACAACTTCATATTGGTTTACCAAACTATCAAATACAAAAAGAAAAGTGAAAATAATAGGGAAGGAGCGGGGGGGGGGGAATAAACGCTTAGTAGGGTAGAAAGGGAAAGAAAAGCTTTGAGTTCTGTCTTTTTGGCACAGTAGAATAAGGTAATAGTACACCATCTCAACTTTTTTACTTTTATAATTTATACTACCCATTTCTGTAACTACAAACCTACCTAATCAACGGAACTCAAAATCCAAGTTTAGCTTCGTTTTCCCTTTGTTTTCCTCCCACCCCAAGCATAAAGTCCAGAAGAGGTTTCCCAATTGAAGCAAAATTGTGTTCCTTTCTTAATCCAAGCAATCGATTTCAGCAATCGATTTAAGAACGCCAGTGAGTCGCTTAACAACTGGGGCAAGAAAGCTTCCAAAATGGGGCAGACCTCACTTCACGACTGCCTCGCTTAGCAACAATGGTGGTCGCACGTTGAGGACCACTCACATATTCAACTTTCAAGAATCTTCTGCATGGAAGACGTGAATCCTACTCCGATATTTTTTCCCCCCTCTTACGCAACTCTTGAGTAGCAGGCCTGGAAGACTGCACAATGAGGAAACAACCCACACACACACACACACCTGTCAACATCGTAGCAAAACATTTCCTGCCTTGTGTGTTTTCGATGACGCCAGCCACCCTGGCTCGCTTTCCCAGACCAGGTCGTGAATAATAACAACTTTCCAGAGGTTGACAAACAAGTTGGACGGCTCTACAATTAAGCGTCCCTCCCTGTCCGGGTTTCCGCCACTGGCTTGGCAGAATCCTTCACCTGCAGTGTGGTTGTGGTTCAATCACAAAGGTTGTGATACCAGCTGGGCTGCCATCTGCTCCTTCCCGTGAAGGTCTCCCTCCGGCAGCCAGGGACGAAAGGCTCAAATTCCTGCAGCTGGTCTCCGGATTTCTGGGTTTAAACTGGAAGACAAATGATGTGTTGGATACGGAGCCGGAGAGATGCGGACTTCAACTCCCAGAATTCCCTAGCCAGCATATAAGAATTCTGGGAGTTGAAGTCCGCATCTCTCCGGCTCCGTATCCAACACATCATTTGTCTTCCAGTTTAAACCCAGAAATCCGGAGACCAGCTGTAGGAATTTGAGCCAAGCTTGTGATCTATCTACTCCCCAAGGCCAGTGTTCCTAAAAGCATGATCCAAGGACTCCTAGGTCCAACCAGGCTGCAGATTCACTTAACAACCATGCTGATTCATTTAATGACTAGTGCAAAAAAAAAGGTCATAAAATCCAGTCTGACCCACAACCAGTCTACTTTATGACCATTATGTGCTACAATCATGATGGTCTTGAAAGCATGATCCATAAATCTCAGGAGTGCAACCAGGTTGCCAACCACCATGATTCACTTAACGACGGTTGCAAGATAGGTCATAAAATCCAGTCCAACACATGATCAGTCTGTTTTAATGATCATCATGTGTTACAACCATGATGGGCAGGTTCCTTTCTGGGAATTGACGTTGCCAAGATTGGGGAAACACTGCCCTAGTTATTTCAAGGCAGAATGCTCTTGCATATGGAGGCTCCACCGAGGTAATTAGATGCTGGCTGGGGAATTCTGGGAGTTGAAGTCCACCATTTATTCCAGTTGTCAAACGTGTGAACTATCTATTCCTCTAAGCTAGCATTCCTGAAAGCATGATCCAAGGTTCAAGCAGGCTGCAGATTCACTTAACAACCACGCTGATTCATTTAATGTCCAGTTCAAAAGAAAAGGTCATAAAATCCACTCCAACACACGACCAGCCTGTTTTACGACCCTCTTATGCTATAGCCATGATGGGGAAGCTCCATTCCTGCCGTTGATGTTTCCAAGGTTGGGAAAACACTGCCCTGTTTATTTCAAGGCAGACTGCTCTTGAATATGGAAGCTCCTCCGAGGTATCTAAACGCTGGCTGGGGAATTCTGGGAGTTGAAGTCCACCCAGCTTCACGTTGACAAGGTTAGGAAACACTACTCCTTATTTCGAGGCAGAATGCTCTTGAATATGGAGGCTTGTTAGAGGTCATTAGACGCTGCCAAAGGGATTCTGGGAGTTGAAGTCCACCCAGCTTCACATTGACAAGGTTGGGAAACAGGATTCTAATCACTGTTAATGCTGAATGCTCTTGAATATGGAGGCTCCTTGGAAGTAATTAGACGCCTCTCTTTGCTTAACCTTTTTTGCATGGCATCTAATTTGCAAACCCCAGAAAACAGAGAAGGAGTTAGCAAATTGCAAGACGCCCGGACGTTCCCGAATCTGTTGCAAGATGTTGGAAGAGGAATTCCCAGGAATTCTCAGCCAGCACGGCCCCAACAGAAGCATGTTGGCTTGTGTTAGGACAAGCTGTGGTTTGCTTGGGCTTTTAGCCTGTAAGGAGTGAAATCCCACCCCTCTCCTACAAAAGTGAAATATCCTGGGAAATGTTGAAAAGGCAAAATATTACATTTCCCTGGATCAGAAATGGAGAAACATGTTTTTAGGTAGGAAACAGGCTCACTCTTAATAGCCCCCACCTTTGTCAATGGGCCATTAAAAGGCCTGAGGCAGTCTGTTCTACATAACAAAGATCTCCCCCATTCAGCTCCAGGGTGATGGGATTAAGGCATGATAGTATTAGCCCTTCACCCATCTCACCACAGGGCCCCTGGGAAGAAGCAAGGCTCAA